AGGGAGGCCTGGGTGGCTCAGTTGGTTAGGCATTTGCCTTCGGCTCAGGTCATGATCCTGGGGTCCTAGGTTCGAGTCCCTCATCAGGCTTCTTATTCAGTGGGGAGCCTGCTTCTCCCTCTGCCTCCTGCTCTCCTTGCTTGTGCATGCTCTCTCTCTCTCTGACAAATAATAAATAAAATCTTAAAAAATAATGAAAAAAGTAAGAGTCAAAAAAAGGGGGGAAAGAAACCCAAAGGGAATATCGGAAGGGATGGAAGCAAGGTAGTAAAATAAAGGTCAGGGACACATTACATCAGAATTAATAGGTATCTTGGTATTGACAGATTACAAGAGAGAAGAGAGGTGTGTCAGACCTTGATGAAGGACTAAAAGAAAAACCAAAAACTATGGGGAAAGAGACCATCTAATCGAAGTCAAACCCACAGAGTAAAGGAACCAGGGACTTGACAGTGTTGAGCAGACCTACGAGAAATAGAGAACAAGAGGAAAACAAAAAAGCCCTTTCCTCCTAAGTCTCACCAAGTAGTTTTCTCCTCCTCTTCCATCTATCCCCTCTCCATGGCCCTGTCCTAGGTGAAGCCTTCTCATATCCAAGCCCACCCCACACATCACATACATCTTTTATTTTTTAAGTAGGCTCTATGCCCAATGTGGGGCTCAAACTCATGACCCTGAGATCGAGAGTCACATGCTCCGACTGCACCAGCCAGGTGCCCCGCATATACCTTTTATACCTCCTTGACTAGACTAGAATGCTTCCTTCACTGGTCTTCAAAACCGAGTTTAAATGAACCTTTTCGCGAAGCTTCTCCACAACTTTCCAACAACTTTCTAAGGCAGAGTTAGTAGTTCCTCTCCGTATTTTCAGAACATGTTGTTCTAAAAATTAACCTAATGTTAAAATGTAAGGTCTTGTTTCCTCTAGTAGTCTACAGGCAATTCTAGTAAAGGATTCACCAGTAAGGATGAAAACCCTTACTAAGAAGCATTTCACAAAACCGTAAAGTCCTTTTATAAGCAAGAAATTTTTACATCTTATACAACACAAGTAGGAAGCTAGAAGCCTTGCTGTTTAAAGGAATTCTATATTGAATCTTTTGAACAAGAATACAGGCATCCTACCCCTAGTTTCTCCCCATACCATCAAGGACCTTTCCTTAAAGTTTTATTTTTAAAATGCTTTAAATTTCTACTGAATGGCAAAAATATAACAGAGAAGGCAAACTGCATCAGGAATAGTATGTAGCAGTCAGAGAAGAAAATTCCTCTCTAAAATAAAAACAAAAGCACCTTAAACTCTCAAAGGCAGAACATTATATACTAAAGAAAATAAATGTGCAAGAAGAATCTGAAGAAAACTGGAGGACACAAAATCAGCAAGCTCATAGTGCTTTCATGGGAAACTGCCAACATCAACAATACCCAAAGATAAGTACGTAAAACATGACTTTGTAACAAAAGATGTAAAAGTAGGTTTGGTGTTAAAAGGCCAGAACAGCAGGATGAAAATAGAGTTGCTGGGAATTAGTGGGAAGATAGGTGATTTAAAAAGTTGTTTGGGGAGGAGAGTTTCAATATAGATTTTGGGAGAAAGGTCATGAACTGGTGAAAAAGCACATAAGCCTTGGCCAGCAACACAATGGGATAGTACTGTAGTCACCAAGTCCCACTGCAGTCACCAAATCCCACTGCAGTCCCCTGCAAGAAACGCTCTCCATGACTAGCCCTCTCCATGTCACCCCTCCCTGGGCTGAATCAGACTTATTAACAAGAATGATTTTACAGTATTTCCCCAAGATGACAAACACTGCTATACAGACAAATAATTGTCACAAACTCTAATAAATAAGAGGTTTCAATCATATTTGCTAAACACCCAGAGATCCAAGTGTGCCAAGAGCTAATGACAAATCTAAAGAAAAAGCACAGGTTGTGTGTGGGGGGGTCATGCTTAGAAGGAATATTCAACAAGTCTAAATAATAGAATGTATCTGAAAAAAATTAACAAAAGAATTCAAGGGATTTTTAAACATCATCAAAATAGCTTTTCCATAAACTTTCTCAAAAGAAAAGGGTCAATTTTTAAATGAAGGCTTTTTGTTTCAGCAGATGGTGATTAATTCCTCCCTTCCAACTAAGTCCAACATCTCTACTAATAGTAGACTGACTTACTACCTTCCAGATAAGGAGTTTTTAGCAATGCACTCATTTATTTAGGAAGTTCAGAAACACTAAAAGGTGTCAGGCACAGAGTGAGGCACTGGGGATATAAAAATAAAGAGGCAGACTCTGAGCTCAAGTTGCTCACCAGGCAGGTAACATAAATGGGTAAATACTGTACTGTGGAACAAGTGCTAATAAAGGTAAACTGAGAGGTCATTAAACTATGAAAACAAAAACTGAATAGAGATTTGAGAGGTGGTTCTAATCAGCCAGAAATATTGGCATAGTCAAACTACAAGAGGTTGAGAATACAATAACTGACAATTTCCCAGTATCCCACTGAGATAGAAAACATCATTAATCTCTCCCATTACAAATTAATAAACTGAATTACCCACAGTCACCCAGCCAAATAGTAGGCTAACTAGAACTAGAAACACAATTACAGGCCACATGATGCTTTTCCATTTTAAGAGGTCAATATATTCTCCTTTCTCAACTGTCACGATTGCGCTTAAAACCCAGTTCGAGTCAACAAAACTGGAGAAATACTACACAGAAACAAAGCAAAAAGCTACCCATGAAAAAATTAAGTATTTGTCTATGTGATATTTTTAGGGTTTTAGCATCTCCACTTCAGTGGACACTTAGCTCTACTTCACATTTTCCAAGGAAAGGGAGGGGTAGCAACCTGTATCTTTTGGGATCTTGTCTGAAAAAGTATCCTACCCTATTTAGGTAACTCTACAAAATCTCAGGCAGCGGCACCATGGGTATGGCGTCCAAATTAACTGCATGATGTATCAAAGAACTCAGAGAGTTAAGTATTTACTCACTTGACTAACATCTCTTCAAACAGCTGTGAACAGTTTTGTTAGGAATGATACACTAAATGCCACTTTAAGACCTCAATGAGACTATACCCTTTACTATATTAAGGTTCTTAGGTATCATAATCTTAAAAAGCAAAAAACTTTTCAATGAGAATGCATCTCTAAGATAAAAAGGACTTAACATTCCAACATTTGCTTTAAAATGTTTTTTTCAGGGGCACCTGGGTGGCTCAGTGGGTTAAGCATCTGACTCTCGATCTCCCCACTGAACGTGGAGCCTACTTTAAAAAACTAAAAAAATAAAGTGTTTTTTTCAGGAAAACATCTATTCGCAAATGAAATAAAAATACAGACTACAGTGCTGCCTTGTGCTTTTATTCTAAAAATTCTTCAGGGCCAGAGATAATGTATATTCTGCAAGTGCTCAAATTATTAGCTGAAGTGCATGTTTATATATTGTGCAGTATCTTTACATCTAAGTAATTAAAACCCAGTGACTGATGTCTTAGGACAGGGGTTGATAAACAAACTACAACCTTCAACCACAGCCAGTTCTTGTAAATAAATTTTATTAGAATACAGCCCCAAACATATTATCTATGGTTGTTTTCATGCTACAATTTGCAGAGCTGAGAGAGACTACATGGCCCACAAGCCTAAATATTTACTATCTGACCGTGAACAGAAAAAGTCTTGTCGACCCCTATCTTAGAATCATCAGACTAACAACCAGACAAATTATATCTAGCTTAAGAGTTTATCTAGCCTGTTAGATGAACTACTGAATACAATGAAAGAGAATTTTTCTCTCAAACATCCAAGTCAACACCCACACGGAAACAAACCCCGCTGATTAATTCCAAGTCATAAAATTGTCAATCCTGACTACAAACTATATTTAAAAGCAAACAGTGGATTTAGTTTAACCCTTTTAAAAACTGTGCTACAATAATAAACATACAAACTCATTGTACTTTCACGGTCACTTGTATTGTTAACCACCATCAGGGAACCATACAAGTTATTCTCTCAGTCTTTAAACTGGCATCCAAGAACCCACACAGAGTGAACTAGTAAACCAAGTAGGACACAGTCTTTCTAAGGGTCTGTTTTCACTTGTCCAGACAGAGAAGGGATGGTAAGTGGAACATCCAAAATCTCTCCTCCTGGATGTATTTAGTCTCTTCTATGCTTACTAGCCTAAAAATTTCAAAGCTGATATAGGTCATATAAAAGAATTATACCCAAGTAACTCACGTCGGCTCTCTTTGCCATTCTTACTTTATTCTTTAAAGTAAGCGGTAGACCCAATGTGGTGCTTGAACTCACAACCGGAGATCAAGAGCGGCATATCCCACTACCTAGCCAGGCGCCTCTCTCTTTGCCATTCTTAAGAAAAATCAATAAATAATAAACTAATACTTTTATTTGCTGTAACAGTTATATTTAAGAACTGAAGTCTATTAAAAAATCAGGGATTATATTTTTACATATCATTCTTAACAGAACTGACTCAAGCACGTCAAAACAATACAGAAATCGACAAATCATTTATTTACCAATTATTATTTTTCCTCTGGTTAACAAAATAGGAGATAATGCAAATTCCTGAATACAGTCAACTCCTGAATGGCCTCTGCAGGATACCCGACGTGCTTAACAGAAGTGCATCAATAAAAGAGCCTGGTACCCTTGACAATACCAGCGCAGTCACAGGTTGTAAGGTTATGCTAACATAAATCAAGCATTTAATAAGGTTGACAGGATGCCAAAATGATCAGAAAACAAGTAAAATAAATGATTTTCTAATTACTCATACCATTTCCCCCTTCATCTCTGGTGTTTTCCCAGCTATTTTGGATGAAAAGAAAATGGGGAAAAAAAATATTTAAAAGTACAATGAAGTGACAACCAGTTTACCACAGATTACCAGATTTATATAAAAACCATATTTTCTGCTTTTTAAAAAGAAATAAGTCAGTTTTTGATCCTATTCCTCACCTGCAGGATATTCACAAGACAAAGTCCTAAAGAACCTTCAAATCAAAGTAATTTTCTCAAGGCTCAGTTTTCTTATGAACTTGACTCACGTGAGCTACAAATTTATGTAAGCAGGAGGGGCAAATTACTACTAGGACTAGGACTAGAAAGTGCGGGGGCAATCTTAAGAAGGTACCCTGACGAAAAAAATGGAAACCCCACCCAGCTCTTAACTTTCTCGGCTTTTTCTAGTCCCGGTTTTCTGTGCAAAATCCAGAAAAGCAGAACTTCCTCCTCACTGTTTGCCTCTATGTGAGGCCTTGTGCCGAAATTCAGACCGCTAGCTATCCAAGCACCTTCTTAACGTAGTCTTAAAGCTCGAGTCCGCTCAGAAACAGCAAAAAGGTTTGCTTTCTTGGGTTAGAGGAGAGCAATTACAGGGTTTGGCGGCCGTGTTTGTCAGGAAGGGTAGGGCCGAGAAAGAGGGAGAATCCAGAGATTGAGCTCCATCTAGTCCCAGGAACCACCCCCAGGGGCGGCTAGACTGCCCTCGGTACTTCCCTGCCTCCTCTGCTCGGGAGGGGAGAGCGGTGGGTCGGGGTCTGGCTCCCCTGAGCTACTTCCTGGTCCGATTGGACTCGCCTTCGGACACCCGAAACGCCCCCGGCCCGGCTCCCTCGCCCTTTGCCCTGTCTCCTCCCCTCTCAGTGACCCACCACCACCGGTCCCCTCCCATCTAACATGGCCGCCCCACCCGGCCCACCCCCGGCACAGCCTAAGAAACTGGGGGGCCCGCGGCACCGCCTCCCTCACGTCCATTGGCGCAGCAGCCTTCATCCGCCGGTCCCATTGGACGGCGAGGCCTGCCACTCCGCGCTGAGGGCTCCGCCTACGAGCCGCTTCAAGCTGCTTTGAGAAGACATATAAACAAATCCCGGAGGGAGGCCCCTCTCGCCCGTCCCTGGGGCGGAGACGCGAAGGGGGAGCGGCTACCCCAGAGACACCCCTGCCTGGATCCCCCCCCAACCCCCAGCCAGCGCTTCCTCGTCTCCTGCCTGCCCAGTTCCAACCTTCGCGGCCCCGGCCCTTCCTCACACGCCCCTCTCTCTCCTCCCCCGCCAGCCTCGCCTCCCCTCCCTTCCCCGGCCCCTCCCACCCGCTCGCTTCTCTGACAGGCCGGTAGCCGGCAGCCACGGCCCCAGGCTCAGAGGCAGCAGTTAAGGGCCGGGCGGCCTGGCAGGGCAGACGCCTGGCGTTGCCCACCCCTGGCCTAGCCTGCCGCCCACCCGTGGGTCCCCTCTACAGCCGCGCTGCGCTTTTATATAACCGTCCCGGGCCCGGGGTGGGGGAGGGGAACCGGAGACCCCGTGACCTGCAGGAGGCAGCCTGAGGCCCGCGCGCCCCCAGACTCGGCCCTGGTCCCGGCTGCCCCGCGCCCGCCCGGCTCAGAGCCCCGGTGCTGCTGCCTCGTAGGCCAGCGGCCCTCCTCCGCCCCCCGCCCGGCTAGTCCCCCAGCCCAGGCCCCTGCAGGCTCCGAGCGGAGAGCAGCAGAGCTCACCTGTGGGTGTGGGGGCGGCTCAAGGGCTGGGTCCGATTCCGCTGCAGGGGCCGCGGCCCCTCTCCATGCTGCCTCGGTTTGTTTTGTTTATGTCCTTCCTGACGGGTTCCCGGAAATCGCGTGACTCGCCCCCCTCACGTGGGCCGCGGCGAGGAGGAGGAGGGAGGCGGGGGCCCGCCGGCCTCCGGCCAATCGGGAGGCGTTCCGCAATCCGGCCTATCAGGAGCTGGTCCCGGCTGGGCACCCCTGTCACATGACACCGGAGGGGCGGATTGCCGGGAAAAACCAGGAAGAGGGGGCGGAGCGGGGGCTCGGCGCCTGCCACTGCAGCGTGGGCGTGGGCCGTCTTTGATACAGAGCCACACTCATGTTTGTAAAGGAGGTTCGTTTACAAAAACTCTCCCATGCAGCATTTAATCTGATCTCACAACTGCACAGTGAGGCCCGAAGTGTCGTATACCCATTTATATTTACCTTTATGTCCATTTGCATTTACATTCTAAGTTAGTGAAACTCACGGGAACCCAGGGCACTGACTTGAGAGGGATTGCATCAACTTTCTGTTTTATGTATGTCTTCCACATCTGAACCTCTTAATTCGCTGAGACTGACCTTGCCTTCAGTCATTCGTTCATTCAACTAGTATTTATTGCGTACGTAAACCCGAGACACTGGGATCGATCAGATTGCGTGCACCTTTAAGAGAAAGAACACCTGTACACTACTGTACAAACAGAATGCTACCAGAAGCGCCTAGCAAACCTTCATAACACATGTGCCCGAGGTTTCCTTGTGCTCCCTAATCCTGTTAACAACAGCGACCTTCTACTACCGAACGTGTACTATGTAGTGGGCTCATCATCTCATTTAGTTAATCCTACAGGTACACTGAATGGTAACATGCCGATTTTTGCAGATGGGGAAATTGAGGCTCATAGGGATTACTCGCTCCCGGTCAGGAAGCTAGTAAATGAACCAGCCGGGCCCAGAACCCAAGTCTGTTGCCACAGCCTGCTCTTTATACTTCTTAAGGGCACAGAATTTATCTTCTGAGAACAGAACAGAAATAATGACTTTAGTAAGCATGAAGAAAGTTGGATTAGAGCACAGAAATGCTTGGCCAGATTCCCTCAGGATGCCAGTTTTCTCAAAGGAGTCACTGTCTTAGAAATTGTTGCTCTCCTTTGCACAGATCTACGGAAGTAGTATAGTGTTAATGTCAAAACCATGGACTTTGGAATTAGAAGACTTCTAAAGATCCTAAGTTTCAAGAGGGCAGAGATTAGCCCTGCTGTTTCTCCTCTGCCTTTCATACCTGCCACACAGGCAATCATTAAATACTGGTCAAATAACAGCCTGGATATGAATCTTTGCTCTACCACGTGTTAACCAGCACAAATTATTTAATTTCCGTAAGGCTCCTCTGTAAGTAACTCACGGGGTTGATTTGAGAATCGAGTGGAAAATTTCATATAAAGCACCTACCACAGTGTGTTGCATATAGTGGGCATTTAATGAATGGTAGTATTATTAGATTGTTTCAAAGACATCATTTAGAAGACATACTGTAAGCTAAATAGCAAGTAAGGATAATTCTAGACTTTACCAGTTTAACTGCCACTAAAATACTACTTAGGTAAACAGTATTAATAGGTGGTTATATGTAGATACCTAAGGGGAAAATAAAGTAAATCCCACCTCTGCATCCTTCAAAATTCCTTAGGGTCTCAGCACCCAGTGAAGGAGTATTTTCCCTACTGCACAGGAAGTAGCAGGATTATCATTATTTTCTTTTTTAAGTCTAACATACGACATTCTAATTTTCCATATCGACTGGAGTTTAAAATTGAAACACCAAAAGAAAAACTGGCTTGGGAAGTTTGAGCCAGTGTCCTCTTACTCGTTCATATTCGATTCTTGCATTAAATCCCCATGGGATACCATACCAAGGATCCTTTCTCATAATACCTTGTTTGGAAAAATTCCAGCAGGTGGCTAGCTCTTCAACTGTTCCACTGCCCTTTTGGCGGTCATTTTCATACTTCTGCTGGGCAACAGTCTGCTTGGGTCAAGGACAGCCTGATTCTTCTAGCACGTGGCTCTGCCATTGAAGGAGCTTACTAGTGAATTATGTTGGATTCCCGCCTTTGCATCTTCCCTTGTCTCAGAAAGGACAGTGTTAGCTAATGGAGACCTTCCCATCATGGTTAATGACCATATTCTGCTCTGAAGTGAATGAAATCACTGACTACTAATTCATTTGTGTTTCTCTGGGTTTTATTCTGCCAGATTGTGCCAAAGTCAAAACTGGCAGGACTGGGACTGTGGAATAGCACTGGCTTGAGGTACAGGAGCTCTTCTTGTTCTAGCCACAAAGTAGTAACCAACTGCCATCACCTCTTCCAAAGTGCTTAACCTTGCTTTTGCAGAATCAAAAGCCTGAACCAAAAAATGTGCTACACAAACATGACAGAATGGGGGAAACAAAGCAATAGTTAGGACTCCACTGAACTCTTAAAAATAAATTATTTATTTTTTGATTAACATATACACAGCACAAAATTCAAAAGGTACAAAAAGATATTCAGCGAATATTAAATCTCTCTCCCACTCCTGTTCCCTGGCCATTCATTTTCCCCTCTTAGAAGCAACCAGAAATACCCATGCTCCGTGTATCCTCCCAGTGGTATTTTCTGATATGCTGACATTTCATATCCTTTAAACCTTGAGGTATTCAAAACGCAGTTCTTGGACCCAACACTTCAATTTGAGCTCTACTTACTATGAGATCCAGGATGAGGGGTGGGACCTCGCAGGGTTCCACTTTCTTCCCTTTCTTCACCACGAGAAATCTGGACTTGAAGTGGATGTTCTCCCCAATCTTCTAACTTTTAACATTGAGTTCTCCTGAAAATTAAAAGAGTTGCCACAGGTCCTAACTTTCCTTACAACCTAAAGTTTGCAGTTCTTCATTAGAGCACAGACTGAGCCCTGCCTGCTGATTATGTACACATCTAAATGAGTGTTAACCTTTTGAGTCTAAGTGTTTTCTTTCTGCACCCCTCTGGACCTGTGTGATACCTTAACATTTCACAGCTTCAGAAGTGAGATTAATTAACTCAAAGCTGGAAGATCTCCAGGAAAAGCTGTGTCCTTCTCACACTTTTAAAAACTTATTTTCTTCCTGAGGAGACTGGAGCATTGCGGAGGGTGAATCTAAAAGATACTGATGGTTGGCAATTGGCACCCATCCCTCATTCACCTCTCCTAGAAAATATTCTTTGGGGGAAGAAGAGTTCAGTTTTTCCCCTTGCCTTAACCTCTCAATGGGATGGAGTACTCTTTATGTAACAGTTCTGAGCTTTGGTTTCTTACTTTTGGAAAGCACCAAGTTCAGCCCCAAGGTTCTTCTCTAGTCTATCCATTATTTATTTACCCCGATTCCTCACTCCCCATAGGCAGAACTAGGTAACTGCTGTGGTCCCAATCCTCTTAGTCCTCCATGACTCAAGATCCCACATCT